CGCTGCTTTAACAGGTAAATATGACCTAGATTTCATTCCGTAAATTTGATCTCATCATGTCATGAGTTGTCAATCATGTTTGTTTTCCTCTTATAGCTTGTACAGTTTCTTCATATTTTTTTCTATCCCAGGTAATCGGATGATTTACTTTTGGTTTCTGGGTTTTCTTTCCTCACTCGGCTGTGCTGCTCCCGGTAAGTTCCGACTCCCGACATCATTATTTATACCGCAGCATTCCCCTAAGAGTCCATGTCTGCATGACTTCTTCATTTATCCATTAAAGTGACTTTTCCTGATAAACCCTTGTTTTCATCACCAGATCTTAAAACACATATGGAGTTTTCCTCATTTATAATACTAAAGTCAAATTCCTTATTTGTACACTCAAGCTTGATTTGAATCAGAACACCAGCCCACTCCTCCATGGGGCCCAAAGCGAAATTTGGTTTTGGGGCCCTGAATTTCTGGTAATTATGTGGATTGCAGCAGTCAGACGATTAACTCATTCGCACACCTGTCATAAATGCAATTCATCTCTCACTGAGATGGTTGCATTTTATCCTATATGCATGTATCACCTGTTGGTAATAAAAGCAACAAAAACCTAGCATGCACTGGACTTAAGATGGAATACATACACACATATTAATTAACATACTTCGATTAAATTAATTTATATTAGATGTATTTCCAATAGTTAAAAATTAAATTTATTACCGGTGAGTCTTTCTCACCTGACAAAGTGGAACAGTACTGGTCAGCAGCAAACAACATATCACCAACTACAGCTTAGAGTTGCTCATCTCTATATTTTAATGTAGTAGCCATGTAGCCTGATGTAAAAACTTTTTGCTAGACAATATCAATCAGTGTGAAATTTTAATTATTGTTATCAAACCTTATCAAACATGCCATTTTGAATAATAATAAAAAAATATCAGAAATATATAGAACCAACCACAAGAATCAACTCATTTAAAGTTAAAATTCAGTTTCACACAAATACAAAGATGCTATCATATGGATCAATATAAGCATATGCAACTTGTGAAATGAAGTTAAATACTTGGAACATTTCATAAATCATTACCTTTGTGACAATCTTGGCACCAATATTGAATGATGTAATCGAATATGCTGATGAGAAAATCTGGTATGTGTTCGTCCTCTGCAAAGATAGCTCTTCTTAAAACTTTTGTACTCCACTGTACACTGCCCATCTGTAGGCAGTGCTGCTTTTTTAATACAAAATAAGCAGCATGCAGAAGTTATATGAGGCATTCAGACATACGTTTGTACATATTCAGACATATGTTTGTACATATTCAGACATATGTTTGTACATAATGCTATACCCATATGTCCAGCTGTACTCAGAAATCTTATGTACAAATGCATTTGTAGATTATCTGTGTCATGCAATAACATAATTTCAATTCTAGTAAACCCTGCACTTAGCACAGTCACATTTACCTCAAGATTGAGGAACCACTGGTGTCGTCATTTATTTGTGACTCAGTGAACATTATTATGTGCTGTGTTTATTTTAATTTAATTGTTTTATTTTTATTATCTTATTTACCTTTTTGCTATGGACTTTTTTATGTGTATGATGATGATGATGATGATGATGATGATGATGATGATGATAATGATGATAATNAGATAGATAGATAGATAGATAGATAGATAGATAGATAGATAGATAGATAGATAGATAGATTTTGAATCATTGATTTTGAAATCTGCATGATCAGTATGACCCATCCCTTGTCCTCAAGCCACAGTAAACTGCATGTTTTAGGTGTTTCTGTGCTTCAATGCAGCTGATTCAGATAATTACTGCATCAGTTCATCAGCCATCAGTTGAAATCAATTGTCCTGAGGCAGAGAAACTCATAAACCATACAGGGCATTGTGTCTAGAGGACCAGGGTTAGGAAACATTGCTCTTGTTTAAAGGTGCACCTCGAAAGTTAAATGTTAAACTCTGAGACCAAGAGTCCTAAGCACAGTAACATCATGATCATTAAAGCTGCTGTTTCAACTTTTGGTACCAGTGTGATCAGGTGCCGAGTCCTGCTGGAAAATGAAATCAGCATCTCTGCACAGCTTGGCAGCAGAGGGAAGCCAACGTACTTTATTCTTCTAGACGGCTGATCTAACTTTGGACTAGTTAACATATGGTGGACCAACACCAGCAGATGAAATGCAGCCCCAAGTCGTCATTGACTGTGGAAATGTCATTCTTCCTCCAGAATCTGGGAAATTAACATATGAAAAGACACTGGGCCACTGTGGAGCAGATGATTCTGACATCTTTGGTCCAAGAGGAGTTTAAAAACAAGGAATGTAGTAATTTTGAATCTCATGTCCTGGATTTGTCCAGGTGGAGCCTCACACACAGACCTCAGCTGAAGTTCATGTACATTTCCTTCAAACTCTGAACAGGCTGTGATCATTTTTGTTGCTTCTGGAGGTATTTTCCCTTCCACTCAACTTTTCGTAAATTTGCTCTGAGAACAGTCAGCTTCTTCAGGATTGTGCCTTGGTAGATTGCTCCCCCTTGTGGATGGTTTTGGTTAGTGTCTGTTGGATAATGCAGGAACAGAAACATGTTCCTAATAGAAATTATTGGTGCCCTGTAATATTCTAACTTTGACAAACAGATATATTCATTAGATACCATTGCTTACCAAAATTAACAGAAATAATTGATTTTGAAATAAATTACTAAACTAGACTAATTTGTTGATAGTGATTTATTTTTATGCACCTGCTGACTAAGGAATAAGATCTTGAAATTCAACATATTGCCATTCTTATCCACACCTGAAAATTGTATAAAACAAATTTTTACTTTTTAATAAATACCAAAAAAAATAAAATAAAATAAAAACCCCAACAAGTTTGTCATTTTTATGTTGCTCAGTTGTTTTCACAATGTAAAATTCACTTTACAATCCAGTTTAGGAAAACTAGGTAACTGCAGCAGCACTTTCTCTCCTCCCCTGCTTCTTCAGCAGCTGGATCCGGTTGTGGACATAAAACTTGATGGCTCTCCAGTCTCGCTGGTTGCTCACCAGCAGGGGGCAGAGTTCCAGGCAGCGTTCACAGTCCGCCTTGGCGGGGACGCGCAGGTCCAAGAGGTTCTTCTTGAGGTGCGTCTCCACAGCTACGCGCTCCGCCTCAGACCAGGGTCGCTTCAGGACGCCGCGTTTTCCTGTGGGAAGTTGTAATGAAGGCCATGAGCACAGGTATAAGTTGAGCATATTTACAAACAAGCAGGATATTTTTAGTAAGTGTAGAAGTATGAAGGAAAGCAGAACAATAAATGCTGCTCTTAAATGAAAAATGTTTTGGTTTTGTTTAAGCCTGTAAATTAAATCCAAATATGTAGTTAAAGAAATCGCTAAAGGCCCTTGAAAGTTGTTTCAAGAGACTCTGGAAGAAACGGCTTAAAAAGATACTTCAATAGTTATGCAACACTTATCTTCTACTTGAGTAATTCTAATTTGGAGCAAAGCTGCTCTTGTCTGAGTAGTTTCTGATTATTCTACCATCCTGTAGTAACTTCACTTCGTGATATTTATGTTTGATGCATAAATATCACGAATGATATTTATGCATCAAACACATAAATACACCTGCTGTTTATAGTAAAGTCAGACTTCTGGTTGACTTTGAAAGAAGCTGTAAACTCCAAACGCCATTTCCTTTAAGACGCTTTTTATGAATAGCGGCTTAACCCTGGTGCGTGCGAGGACTGAGGCAAATGATACAAGTGATACGGGTGTGGGGTCGGTTGGACCCAATTTGTGAAACACAAGGGTTAACGACTTGGTTATATTTGCATGCCGAAATCGAAAGTAAAAGTAGCAGTCCCTTCACGTCTATTTCACGCCTTGTTTTGTTATAACTAAGCCACAGAAGTGAGCAGGTCCCTCCTGGACTTGAATCACATCTAAAACTCGCCTCCTCGGGAGAAATTTTCACCGTTTTTTAGTGACTATATTTATGTCACTTCTTATTCACTTGGACCCAATCGGTAAACCGAGAGTTACAATCGCTGCTTTAACAGGTAAATATGACCTACACTCTTAGAAATGGCTGTAAATTTACGGTGGAATTCCAGCAGTAACATACTGTTATTCCAAAATACGGTAGGATATTGTCAATTTGATGTCTTCTTCTGTTGTCACAATCAAGACTCACGACTGGCAGTAAACTACCGTAAAATAATTGTACAATACAGTTTTTCCCCTAAGAAATACGTTTTACTTGTATTTGCATCTTAGAGAACCAGCATTTAAAGACAATATTAAATGGAAAGAAAAAAGTAATAAATCTTTTAGGGAATGAATCGAAATCTACAGAGCATAATCAAAAGTGTTAGATTACCAGTATTGGTGTTCGTTAAAAATACAATGTTAATTAAACACTTATGTCAAATTCAAAGATGGGTTTGTCAGTTTCCCTAAAGAGATGGTGTTTGCTAAAGAGTTGCTCCCACAATCGCAATTTATCTGTGACGTCACGTGTTTGCCCTGGAGACAACAGTATGGCGTATTGTCTGGAGCTTATCATAACAACGTAAGTTCCCCAAAGCTATTAAAACTTTGGTCTTTATGTTCTCTTTTTAATGTTCTCTCTTTAATGTATTTATGTAATGTAATGGTGATGTATTGTCTCAATGTTTGTAACTCCCTGGCGGACATTATACCACAATGTATGCTGCGTTTATACTGTTATATATTCTGTATCTCAATAAAGATCTATTAAAAAAAAAGTAAGTTCCATGTTAAGATCATCATGTTTTTGATTTTGATTATTTTTTATGAATGCATTAACTTTCTGTTTGCGCAAGAGTATCAACTTATGCTTAACATAAGTTTATTTGTTTGGATATCGCGGTACGACTGTTCCTGCCAGCATGCCTAGGTGGGCCCCATGTGGGGAAAAAGAGGGCAGGCCATATGGGTCCCATATGGGTTTGTCCGCGGGTTCCACGATGGCCCCACATGGGTTTGCCCATGTAGGGCCACAGCCCACAAGGGCCCTACATGGGCCCTATATGGTGATGGCCCACATGGGTTTGTCCATTTAGGGCCCATGTAGGGCCCATGTGGGCTGTGGCCCTAAATGGGCAAACCCATGTGGGGCCATCGTGGAACCCGCGGACAAACCCATATGGGACCCATATATCAAGCCCTTCCTCCTGCATGTTGATGAAAACAAAAGCAGCACCAAAGACACTTCACCATCAGTGATCACAAGATCATCCAAGGTAGCTTTTGATGAACTTCCAAAGCACACTTCACCTTCAGTGCAAAGTACCATGAATTCTTCTATAACTTCTGTACATTAATCCAGCCTACAGTTTTCAACATTGATGTGACTTGCACGACAATTGAGGAGATTAAGATTCTTGCTTTTACTTTACCTGGCAGAGTGTACACTCTTTATTATGATGATCATTTAAATGCATACTGTATCAATAAGAGGATTTGTTTTATATTCTTCCAATTAAGGACTTGGTTTATTACAGTCCCTGTGGCAAGCAGTTTTCTGCATGGTCAGCATTGAAGGCCATATTGTCTTTGAGAGGGCCCAGCCAACATTCCAGACAGGACAGTGTTGTCCATCTTCTTCATCTTCAGCCTCCAGTATCAACATGAGGCAGCCAAGACTTTGGAGTTCATTTAACGGTAAAAGCATTCCGATAATTTTTTTTACAATGACATGGTTTTAAAGCAAGTTTGATTAACATTTGATAAAGGTGGTGATGTTTTCTCTTTACGTAATTAAAAACAGCTTTATTTATATATTGTACCAGATGCATTCAGAATGCCACACTATTTATATTCTCAGGATTTATCCCATTTTTAATTTTGTTTTTTGGTCGCTCCATTGGAATTAACCCAGAAAGGGGCACAAAAGCCGGTCATGGGAAGATGGTATCCAAAAAAACAGGAAAGACCATTCAAAAGAAAAAGTGACAATGTTCAGGTTTCCACCTTCATCAAAAACTTGATGAACTTTGAGTGACATCTCATTCAGGTTAGTTGTTCTTTTCTTTTCTTTGAAATCTTTCTGTTTCCATATTATATAGCATCTAAATTGTATTATCTTTTCTTTTTTCATGTTGGACGGTGCCTTCATCTGCATCTAATAAAGTAAGTGCCACTTGGACTTACTTACTGAAAACCATTAATAGTTCACATTTTAAAACCCTGTTAATACTAGAATTCCACATTATTCCAGCCATGTTGAATTTTAGATTTTGGAAGTCATTTTTCTTTGATTTGCTTAGTGATACCCAAAGCATGGATATTTCTTTAAGAACTGTGTTTTTATGTTCATAAGATTGTAGAAATTAATGAGTTAAACCCAGTTTATGTCACTGTAAACTGAAAGTCTTCAATTTTTATTCCAGTGTTGGTGAAACTATATATGGACTATGAAGGCCTATTTTTTTTACCAGTTCTCTGAGGAATGGTTTTGTGTTATTCGTTTTGAATGTTTGAATATACTGGAAATATATGTGGTTTGAGGCATAGTGGTGCCTTTAAATAAAAATTCTGTTCTGACGGTTACTTATCGCATCCTCTTTTGTGTTATGTGAAGTTCTGATTATGCAGATTATGCATTTTAGAACCGCACCAATTGTAGCACTTCTAAGAAGCCTACACTGGGTCAGGTATTAATGTTCTATCGTAAAACAAAGACTGTACTTTAAAAAGTAGCATTACAGTTTTCTTTGCAGTAGCTTACTCATAAAGTGAATGCAGTAGTAAAACTAAATTTACAGTAAAAATACTGGAACGCCAGTATTTGAAGGTATATTTACTTTCACCACTGTATTTTACGGTGGCCAACAGGTACAAACACCCAGCAAAGACGAGAAAAGCACATGCAACAAAAATGAGATGCAAACAAAAAATGCTGAAAACAGAAGTGATCCAGACCATTAGGGGGAGTCGAACAAAGAACAGCTGTGTCCGAAGTCAGGTTTTGCAGGTTTACTGGCAGCTACAGACGTATTTTACCGTTCTTTCGAAAAAACGGTAAAGTACTGGCAGCTATAGATGCCAGTATTTTACCATTCTTTCACAGTATCTATACCGTACGTGCATTGACGGTAATCTGCAGTCAGGATTAATTACGGTACAGCTACTGTGCATTTACAGTAAACTTCTGGCATCTATAGCTGTCAGTATTTGACTGTAAATTTACAGGATTATTTGTTAGAGTGTAGATTTCATTCCGTAAAGCTGATCTCATCATGTCATGAGTTGTCAATCATGTTTGTATTTCTAAACAGGTTGGCACACAATCCTGTTATAGCTCGTACAGTTTCTTATTTATATTTTTTTCTATCCCAGGTAATCGGATGATTTTTTTTTTGGTTTTGGGTCTTCTTTCTTCACCCGGCTGCACTGCTGCCGGTAAGTTCCGACTCCCGACATCATTATTTATAGCGCAGTATTCCCTATAAAGTCCATGTCTGCACGACTTCTTCATTTATTTGCCGCATTTATAGGACTAAAGTCAAATTCTTTGTTTGTACATTGAAACTTGATTCTGATCCTAAAACAGGTGTTCTGACTATCTGTCATACCCGTAAATCTATGGTAATGCGCATGCGCACATCGATGTTACTTCACGTAGTGGTTTTTCAGCAGATTTCTTATAAATCTGTCATACCTGTAGAAGTTTCATTTTGTGTGGTTTATTTCTCAGAAGTTTACGGTACATTTTATTTAATTAAGCTGTTACGTTAATCAAACATATTAACATAAATGACTTGCTGTTTCCAAGATCTTTACTATACTGTAAACAAGACATTAGTCCCGTTTAGCATGACTATTACTTCAAATACTGTTTGACTACAAATTTGGTCTCCCGCGGGATATTTTGTCCCTATAGCTAATCTACCTCTTTAATATTTCTTTAGAAAACTGCACGGGATATGTCCTATAAAAAGTACATGAATAACGCTGGATGCTGACCGAAGCTGTGTTAGGCAACAAGCAGAACACCACCTCTTTCTGGACACTGCGTGGAAATAACTAGATTATTATTATTTTTTATATATATACTGTAAACTTCTGAGAAATAAAATACACACACAGTGAAACTTGTATACAGGTATGATAGATTTATAAGAAACGTAACATCGATGTGCGCATGCGCATTACCACAAGGTATGGATTTACGCGTTATGACAGATAGTCAAAACACCTGTTCACGCCTACATGGGACCCTAAAAATGGGACCCTGGGTTTTGGGGCCCTATTGTTCTGATAATAATGTGGATTGCTACAATCAACAGTCAGACGATTAGTTTATTCGCACATCTGTCATAAAAGCAATACTTTACCTTTTACATCTCTGACAGTGCTGTTTACATTTGATCTGCATGTATCATCTATTGCTAGTAAAAGCAACAAAAAACTACTATCCACTGGGCTTAAGATGGAATACACACACATACTTTGATTAAATAAATCTTTCTTATTGCAATAGTTAAAAATTTATTTTATACTACTTGAGTCTTTCTCACTTGACAATGTGGACCGGTACTGGGTTGATTCTGCGTCTTTTTCATCATATGAATTGATGAAAAAAAATGTTTGGTTTAGCCACGTAAACTATATCACCAACTAGTACCGCTTAGAGTCGTTCATCTTTATATTTTAATGCAGTAGCCATGTTGCCTGATGTAAAAACTTTTTGCTAGACAGTGTCAATCATTGTGAAGTTTTAGTTATTGTTATCAAACCTTATCAAGCACGGCATTTTAAATCATAAAATGCATGGTAATGCAAATTTTATTATTAAATAATGAAATATATATGGCCAACCACGAGAATCAACTCATTTAAAGTTAAGATTCAGTTTCACACAAATACAAAGATGCTATCATATGCATTAACAAGTGCAACATATGTAATGAAGTTAAATACTTGGGACATTTCATAAAAGTTGTGTGTTCTGTGTGATGTATGCACAAGCTAATATGCTGATGAGAAAATCTGGTATGTGTTCGTCCTCTGTAAAGATGGATGAACTCAAATTTCCTCTCTTGCTCTAAGTGAAGGCAGAAGCTTTTTTCCTCTGCTCCCTCCCTGCCCTTGTCTGCCCTGCTTGCTCTGTTTTTTTCTATATCTTTGGAGCCTTTCTTTGCACATCCTCCAAATCTACAAATTATGGATCTGGTCAACCGGTTTCTCAATGCAATTGATCAAATTTTCTCGACGAGCAGTCTGGGCACTGGAGAGCCATCTTGTCCTGCAGGGACACACCCGGCGGGATTCACCCTGGATTTATTCATGATAACAGGACTTCTGCTGTTTGGAGCTTGTGGATTCAGACTGTTGGTGTGGACAGAGACACAAGTTGGATGTGAGTCTTGCAGCCCAGCTGAGAACTCCAGGACTGTCCCCTTCATGCCAAAGTTGGTGGGGACCTGTCCATACTAGTCCTTCAGGAAGTTATGCCTATGTCTAAAACTCACTGGTGTAGTGAAATCAATCTTGGAGAAGTTGCTAGTTTAGCTTCAGTGGAACGACCAAACTAATTTGGATGATTGGGAACTGAGATGTATCGGAGAGACTTTAGGGAAGATTGAAATTTATAATCTTCCCGACCTAAGACATTCTGTATCTGAACTGGTTTTCCCCATGAGGCCTTGGAAGGGCTGCATATTTTCAGTCTCCTTGAAGATATGTAAACATAACGCTCTTCCCTCCTCACCCCCTCCTGTATCCATGCAGCTGTGGAGCTGAGCGCTCCCAAGGACATTCCTCGATAACAATACCTCTATTGGACTTCTGCCAGGAGGCTGAGCAACGTGGTTTCATGGCCCTGTGATGTCACCTTCTTCATTCATGTCTTTGTTTTGCCCTTTGTTTTGTCTGAATGTTGCCATTTGCCCTAATGTGTCCTTTCCTCTTTTTTATTTTATTTTGTTAGAAACTGTGGAGTACACACTTCTAACCCAGAAAAGGAATTAGAACAAACATAGAATCCAGAAAAAACAATCTCCCAGAACAAGAATATTTAGTTTTTATTATTACTTAGAAACTGTGGATAACTCATTACTTATTTAGAGCACACTTAGAAAGTCCAGAGGATACTTACTTACTTAATTTAACATCTTTGTATTAACATAATAACATAAAAATCATTACTTTAAAAGAACGCATGGTCTTTTGGAACCAGCAGCAAATACAAATGCAGCTCAAACAGCAAATAAATCAGTTCCCAACCACATTGTAAATATTAGTGGTTTGCAAAATAAATTTTATATGGGTTTTATGTTTACCATGCATTGAGGTGCAACTATCATTATTTATTGTTTGAGAAAATGATTAAATATAAAGCATTTGGTCTACTGAAAGACTTCAGACTTGAAATCAATGGAATATTTTACTTTGAAACACTTAACATACTTAATCTAATACCAGAACAAAGTGAAAAGATGACTCTAATTATGATTTTCTTTTCAGTTTCAGAGACTTTCACAGTTTCAGTAAAGCCTCATGTCTCAGTCCAGCGAGGTCATACAGCCATCTTACCCTGCTGGCTCGCCTTCTCTGAGAGTGCAGAAGATATGGAGGTGCTCTGGTATCAAGGGAGTGATCAGTCTGGTACTCCAGTCCTGCTTTATCAAGCAAGAGCTTTCGACTATTCATCCCAGAAAGCTTCGTACGCTGGCCGAGCCTCATTTGGCTTGAAGGAAGAAACATCAGGTGGATTAAAGGCAGGTGATGTCAGCCTGAAGCTGGAAAAAGCCACAATTGAAGATGCAGGAAAATATACATGCTTTGTCAGCAGCTCTGATGATTCTGACAGTGCATCTATTAGTCTGAGTGTGACAGGTGAGAACCATGAAACAGAACGAGAACAAAACCAAACAGAATGATGTCCACATCAAATGATCATCTTCTTCTTATTCCAGAAACTGGACACCAACCTCTCCTGTCAGCAGAGATGAAAGACCATAACAAAGTTAACATGAGCTGCCAATCTGACGGCTGGCATCCAAAGCCTGAGCTGAGCTGGTCAGACAGCAAAACAGCTCTCACACCTGCTAATGTGATGTTTAGCACAAACTCTGCTGGTTTTTATTCAGTCCATAGTTGGGTTCTGGTCTCCAGTTCTTCTGAGGTCTCCTGCTCTGTTGGGCTCTTCAATGAAGCACCAAAAGAGACCAGAATGCGTCTGAAAAATTCATTAGAAGAAGGTTTGTGGTTTCACCCTCAAGTTTCTTTTATTAGTCTTTTATGAGAAGTATGTTTATTAGAACAATATTTGCTTTTTATTCAGAGTCGGGATCGTCCTCAGCTGGATGGGTGGCCTTTGGGATACTTTTGGTTGTATTAGTTGCTTTCGGACCCTTGTACTTCCTGTACTTCAGGAAGAAAGGTAAATGTTTCATCCAAATCAGAGAGGATGCATAATTGAAATTTAAAGAATGCTGACATAGTAATGACTATTAATTTCAAACATACTATATATGTTTTTTATTTCAGCTAACAAGCACAAATCAGGAAATGACACAATTGATGGTAAAGAAATCATGCAGACACAAAACGTCATTGGTTTTCCATTAAAGGGACAATCGCGTAGTTTTATTTTGTAGTTTTCAGACTTAAGTACAAATGCAACAAAATGTACATGTTAAAACTGAGCAAAAACCTCATTGGATTATCACAACTGTTACATTTCTAAGGATGTTTAATTAAGACAACATGATGATAATTAAGGACGTGTCAAATCCCTTGTAAAAGTGTTTTCACCTGTTGTAGTGACTTGTTGTTAATCAAGGAAACAAAACAAACCCAAGAATCTGGGGCTCTGCTGACTGACAGGTGTTGATTCATTGGACCTTCTGGATCCAAAGAATCAACACCTGTGATTTTATGATTGTAGAGCACATGTGTCAAACTCAAGGCCCGCGGGCCACATGTGGCCCGCCATGTCATTTTATGTGGCCCGCCTCAGCACTTTATAGGCTGATGATTGACTTAAAATAGGTTTTGAGTGAATTTAATGCGCCATTTCAACCAAAGGTTTGTAATGCGCTTCCTAACCGGTCCATAACTCTTCAACACGCTGTCAGCTCCCGGTCAGAAAGACGCATTTAGTTCAGAGACCATGAGATGATATTCAGAAAGGATTTTTTTAAATTAATTGATTTCACTTGCCTCTGAGACTAAATCTTTGCGTAAAGTCTTTATTATATATAATGTCTGCCCATGTGACTTGTTTTTATTATTTGTTTGCTCACCTTTAAACAACTGATTTAAATATTGTAATTTTTAAACTGAGCAGTAATTTTACATCCATGGAAACTCAAATCTAATATTTAAAACTTCAATACTTCAAATATCAGTTATTTAACTATATGAGGTGGTGTTTAATTTATTTTTAACATTGTATTTTTATACATTTATGCTAGGGCTGCCCAAGTCTAGTTTTCCAGAGCTACCATCTGCAACTTTAGATGCATTCCTTCTCTAACACACCTGGACCATTGACTCATTATAAGCCTCTACAGAACTGAATGAGGGAAGTCAGCCTTTTGTCTGGGGTGTTTTAGCAGGTATGCACTACCGTCAATGTGGCCCGTTGAGGGGGGCCAATATGCTGAAGTGGCCCTCGGTGAAATTGAGTTTGACACCCCTGTTGAAGAGCAATTATTGATCTGGCGCTTTCCAACAAAATGCGACTTTTCAGCGTTGCACACTTCCAATGTTAACATAGTACAGCCAAATGATTCACAAAATTGCCGCAAAGCAATGATCAACATCAGACAACAGTGAAAATGACGATGACGGTTAAAAACTGTGTTTCCACCGCAAACATCACACCTGCAGAGAGTTTACCTGTCAGGCCATTTAAACATATAATGCCACCCACTGTCATTTTCAGGTATTACACCAAACAAACAAACATAAACCCTAAAATTATGGCTTTAATACCAAACTTTCATAATTTATCACATCACAGAATCAAACTTCATTGTGTTTTCTGAGGGAATTTACATGACAAAATAAGGCATCAAGCAAATCATTGGAAAGTGAACTAAAAATGATAGCATGGTTTTTAAATGTCTTTGTAAAAATAAATATTTGAAAATATTGATAAGATTTGAAGAGATTTATCTGTACTGACTCCCCTTTATGCTGCTGTTCCTAAATAAAAACTGTTGCAACTACATTTAGAAGTCATCCAATTAGAACATAGATAAAAACAATGAAGGTTTGAAAATATTATGAAAAAATATTGTAGATAACCTTGTCATCATATTGTACAGACAAAACTGCCACAAATGTGGTCTAAGTGGTTTCATTTAGGATTTTGAGACAAAAGCAGTTTACAGCAATAAGTCTGTTTTGATTTAAAATTGTAAGAATTGAATTAACAACAATAATTCAGACTTTGTTTTATAAGTCACTGTGTAACATCCTCAAACAAAAACCAGTTATGACAGTAAGTCGTACTGGATTTACAATGGAGGTCTTGGTTGGAATTATTTACTAAAGTTTTACTTTTATCTTTCAGGGGCCAATCTCACAAACATTCCTGAAGGTAAAACAGAAGACATAATACATTTGTACTTCTTTTTCTATTTCAGTGAATTCAGCATTTAAGGATTCTTATTGTTGTAGATTTGCTCCAGATGTTTGAAGACATGAGAGGAGTTCAATAGAAACAAAGTTATTACATATCTTTACAGTGATGTGTTCAGATTTCCAGTAAAATAATATCACAGCTTGTTGATGAACCTCAATCTGGTAGAGATAATTTTAAAGCTCTTGTTCTGTTCACTGCATAAAACAACTAAACTATCATTTATTTCTGTGTCTTCCTTCAGAAAATGAACCACTTCTGTCAAAAAGTAGGATACAGTATTTGAAGCTGCTCATGTTAATATAATCAAAACCTTTATCATACAAAATCACATTTTTAAGATATTTTCTTTTCTCACTTTTCTGTCCAGCATCATGGCACTCAGCAGCTCTATTGGAAGCATCCAAGCATCATGGTAATTTTACATTTATTTAATATTATTTTTATTTAGCATTTTACTTCATTATTATATTGATTAAAATATAATTTTCAATATTTAACAGTGAATGTTCAACTGGTGGACACAGGAAATCCACTTATAAAAATGAAGGATTCTATACTGAGAGAAAATGCTGATGCAGAGTTTCCAGATGGAGACAGAGTCACTTGTCTCACTGCAGTCAGAGGATCACCTGGTTTCTCTTCTGGACGGCACTACTGGGAGGTTTCTTTAGCAGATCCAAATGTAGACCTCAAGAAGTCCTGGTGGATCGGAGTTACAGATAAACATGAAATCCCTCTTGATGAACGTTTGTCTCCAACCTCAAAAAATGGTTTCTGGTTCTTGTCTTCTTGCCCCAACGAGGAGGATACTGTTCAGTTTAGCACTGAACCAGAGACATTCATTTATGTTCAGTCAAAACCAAAAACAGTCGGTGTGTATTTGGACTTTGACAACAGAGAGCTCTCCTTCTATAATGTGGAAGAGAAATGTCTGATTGGATCTCTGGCAGCTNAAGATGGAATACACACACATACTTTGATTAAATTAATTTCTCTTATTGCAATAATTAAAAATTTTATTTATGCTAGGTGAGTCTTTCTCACTTGACAATGTGGACCGGTACTGGGTTGATTCGACGTCATCAAATATGTGAAATGTCCTGAGGACATTCAGTTTTTGTTATTACTTAGAAACTGTGGAGTACTCATTGCTTTTACAAATTTAGAGCACACTTAGAAAGTTCAGAGAATACATATTTACACTTATCTAGCATCCCAGAAGTCCAGAGGATACTTACTTACACTTATTTAACATCTTTATATTTTAATGCCGTTGGCATGTAGCCTGATGTAAAAACATTTTGCTAGGCAATATGAATGAGTGTGAAGTTTTAATTGTTATCAAACCTTATTAAGCACGCCATTTTGAATAAAAAAACAACAACTTAGAAATATATAGGGCCAACCACAAGAATAAACTCATTTAAAGTTAAGATTCAGTTTCACACAAATACAAAGATGCTAGCATATGAATCAACGTGCAACATATGTAATGAAGTTAAATACTTGGGAAATTTCATAAAAGTTGTGAGTTCTGTATGATGTATGCGCAAGCTAATATGCTGATGAGAAAATCTGGTATGCGTTCGTCCTCTGCAAAGATAGCTCTTCTTAAAAACTTTTGTACTCCACTGTACACTGCCCATCTGTAGGCAGTGCTGCTTCTTTTCAATACAAAATAAGCAGCATGCAGAAGTTATATGAGGCATTCATAGTATGAGGCTAATATTTAAGGTGGAGTATATTAACTATGTTTGTAAAAACTTATGTACAAATTAATGTGTATAATATCTGTGTCAAGCAATTATATAATGAATGAATGAATGAATGAGTACAGTCAGATTTACCTCAAGGTCGAGGAATGACTGGCATCATTTATTTGTGACTCAGTTGACAATATTATGTGCTGTGTTTATTTTATTTTTAGTTTTTAGTTTTATTGTTTGTCTTTTTACTGCAGACTTTTTATGTATCTGGACTCTGGATAAATGATATGGCAATGATGATGATGATGATGATGATGATGATGATGATGATGATGATGATGATGATGATGATGAATGTTTGGCTGTTGAACTGGACCTTTCAAAGTCACCATAAAACCAATTTTCAACGAGCAGCTCCACAAATATTTTTAATAAACATTATATTACAAAGAGAAATACAAACATACTTTTATCTTGGCTTTTTTCCCTCTTCTAACTCTTTCTTTTTTTCTTCCCCTGAAGAATAAGTCCATTTTTGCTACATTGTTTTGCTAACTGATCTTCCACGGTGCTTTGGAGGTTCTGACGTCGCTCTGCACGTTAAACTGCAGCTAATATTACCAATGAAGTGTTACCTAAAGACGCCACTAGGGGGACCTAAGAGAAATTTATTTTTTCTTCTTACCCATATGAAGAATTATTTCAACCTTCATCCATGAAATAACAAATAGTCAATAAATAAATGAATCACAACTTTATAATAAAGTGGTGTGTTTTTATTAACATAATAACATAAAAATAATTACTATAAAACGCATGGTCTTTTGGAACCAGCAGTATAGAAAAATGCAGCTCAAACAGCAAATAAATCAGTTCCCAACCACATTGTAAATATTACTGGTTTGCAAAGCAAATTTTATATGGGTTTTATGTTTACCAAGCGTTGAGGTACAACTATCATTATTTATTGTTTGGGAAAATTATTAAATATAAAACATTTGGTCTACTGAAAAGCTTCAAACTTGAAATCAATGGAATATTTTACTTTGAAACACTTAACATACTTAATCTAATACCAGAACAAAATGAAAAGATGACTCAAATTATGATTTTCTTTTCTTTTCAGTTTCAGAGACTTTCACAGTTTCAGTAAAGTCTCCTGTCTCAGTCCAGCGAGGCCATACAGCCATCTTACCCTGCTGGCTCACCTTCTCTGAGAGTGCAGAAGATATGGAGGTACTCTGGTATCAAGGGAGTGATCAATTTGGTACTCCAGTCCTGCTTTATAAGGCAAGAACTTTAGACTATTCATCCCAGAAAGCTTCATACGCTGGACGAGCCTCATTTGGCTTGAAGGAAGAAACATCAGGTGGATTAAAGGCAGGTGATGTCAGCCTGAAACTGGAAAACGTCACAATTGAAGATGCAGGAAAATATATATGCGTTGTCAGCAGCTTTGATGATTCTGACAGTGCATCTATTAGTCTGACTGTGACAGGTGAGAACCATGAAACAGAACGAGAACAAAACCAAACAGAATGATGTCCACATCAAATGATCTTCTTCTTCTTCTTCTTCTTCTTCCAGAAACTGGACACCAACCTCTCCTGTCAGCAGTGATGAAAGACGATAACAAAGTTAATCTGAGCTGCCAATCTGACGGCTGGCATCCAAAGCCTGAGCTGAGCTGGTCAGACAGCAAAACAGCTCTCATTCCTGGTAATGTGATGTTTAGCAAAAACTCTGCTGGTTTTTATTCAGTCCATAGTTGGGTTCTGGTCTCCAGTCCCTCTGAGGTCTCCTGCTCTGTTGGGCTCTTCAATGAAGAACCAAAGGAGACCAGAATGCGTCAGAAAAATTCATTAGAAGAAGGTTTGTGGTTTCACCCTCAAGTTTCTTTTATTAGTCTTTTATGAGAAATATGTTTATTAGAACAATATTTGCTTTTTATTCAGAGTCAGGATCGTCCTCAGCTGGATGGGTGGCCTTTGGGATACTTCTGGTTGTATTAGCTGCTTTCGGAGCCTTGTACTTCCTGTACTTCAGGAAGAAAGGTAAATGTTTGATCCAAATCAGAGAGGATGTATAATTGAAATTTAAAGAATGCTGACATAGTAATGACTATTAATTTCAAACCTTATACTATATATGTTTTTATTTCAGCTAACAAGTCCAAATCAGGAAATGACACAACTGATGGTAAAGAAATCATGCAGACACAAAACGTCATTGGTTTTCCATTAAAGGGACAATCACGTAGTTTTATTTTGTTGTTTTCAGATTTAAGTACAAATGCAACAAAATGTACATGTTAAAACTGAGCAAAAACCTCATGGGATTATCACAACTGTTACATTTCTAAGGATGTTTAAATAAGACAGTAAGGACGTGTCAAATCCCTTGTAAAAGTGTTTTCACCCGTTGTAGTGACTTGTTGTTAATCAAAGAAAACAAAACGAACCCAAGAATCTGGGGCTCTGCTGACTGACAGGTGTTGATTCATTGGATCTTCTAGATCCAATGAATCAACACCTGTGGTTCTATGATTGTAGAGCATTTATTGATCTGGCGCTTTCCAACAAAATGCGACTTTTCAGCGTTGCACACTTCCAATGTTAACGTAGTACAGCCAAATGATTCACAAAATTGTCGCAAAGCAACGATCAACATCAGACAACAGTGAAAATGACGATGACGGTTCAAAACTGTTTCCGCTGCAAACATCACACCTGCAGAGAGTTTACCTGTCAGGCCATTTAAACATATAATGCCACCCACTGTCATTTTCAGGTATTACACCAAACAAACAAATAAACATAAACCCTAAAATTATGGCTTTAATACAAAACTTTCACAATTAATCACATCACAGAATCAAACTTCATTTTGTTTTCTGAGAGAATTTACATGACAGAATAAGGCATCAAGCAAATCATTGGAATGTGAACTAAAAATAACATGGTTTGCAAATGTCTTTATAAAAATAAATATTTGAAAATATTGATAAGATTTGAAGAGATTTATCTGTACCGACTCCCCTTTACGCTGCTGTTCCTAAATAAAAACTGTTACAACTACATTTAGAAGTTATCTAATTAGAACATAGATAAAAACAATGAAGGTTTGAAAATATTATGAAAAAAATATTGTAGATATAATCCATAAACCTTGTCATCATATTGTACAGAAAAATTAGCCACAAATGTGGTCTAAGTGGTTTCATTTAGGATTTTGAGACAAAAGCAGTTTACAGCAATAAGTCTGTTTTGATTTAAAATTTAATCTCTGGACCAAGTAAGAATTGAATTAACAAAAATAATTCAGACTTGTTTTATAAGTCACTGTGTAACATCCCCAAACAAAAACCAGTTATGACAATAAGTCATACTAGATTTACAATGGATGTATTGGTTGGAATTATTTACTAAAGTTTTACTTTTATCTTTCAGGGGCCAATCTCACAAACATTCCTGAAGGTAAAACAGAAGATATAATACATTTGTACTACTTTTTCTATTTCAGTCAATTCAGCATTTAAGGATCCTTATTGTTGTAGATTTGCTCCAGATGTTTGAAGACATGAGAGGAGTTCAATAGAAACATAAAGTTATTACATGTCTTTACAGTGATGTGTTCAGATTTCCAGTAAAATAATATCACAGCTTGTTGATGAACCTCAATCTGGTAGAGATAATTTTGAAGCTCTTGATGTGTTCACTGCATAAAACAACTAAAACATCCTTTATTTCTGTGTCTTCCTTCAGAGAATGAACCACTTCTGTCAAAAAGTAGGATACAGTATTTGAAGCTGCTCATGTTAATATAATCAAAACCTTTATCATACAAAATCACATTTTTAAGATATTTTCTTTTCTTACTTTTCTGTCCAGCAACACGGCACTCAGCAGCTCTATTGGAAGCATCCAAGCATTATGGTAATTTTACATTTATTTAATATTATTTTTATTTTGCATTTTACTTCATTATTATATTGATTATAATCTAATTTTCAATTTTTAACAGAGCATGTTCAACTGGTGGACACAGGCAATCCACTAATAAAAATGAAGGATTCTGTACTGAGAGAAAATGCTGATGCAGAGTTTCCAGATGGAGACAGAGTCACTTGTCTCACTGCAGTCAGAGGATCACCTGGTTTCTCTTCTGGACGACACTACTGGGAGGTTTGCTTACAAAATTCAAGTGCAGCCCTCAAGAAGTCCTGGTGGATCGGAGTTACAGAT